TAACAAAAAAACGAAGTCCAGATGACATGATTCAACCTTTTTTGTTGAATGCATGGACTAGTGTCTCAAGGTCGGGTCTAGACAGCACTGACTTGAGCTTAGCTACCTGCCGCAGTTGGAAGAAGCTTCTCTGCAGAACTGAACTGATCTGTTTGTCGAACTTAAAATCCGAGTCAAAAACCACTCCAAGGTTTTTAACAGAGTGCTTCAGATAAGGCTGAAGGGAGTCCAGGTTCACAACTAGGCAAAAGAGCCTTCTCCTACTCTGCTCCTGTATCCTGGAACACTTTACAAACAGATCTGAAGCTCTTGACTTTGACCTCTCCAAGGGACTTTAAATAACTGCTAAGTTCATGGCAAAAACTAACGCAGAAGTTCCTGTTTTTAGTATTTTACATCGCTTTATAATGTAGGTGTTATTGTTTAGTTTTTGATATAATTTCTTCCTTTTACTTTTCATTTTATATGTTTTTTTTTTTTATTGTCTACTGTTGTCATCTGTGTTCTTAGTTTAAAACAGGCCTCTCTTGTAAATGAGTCATTGAGGCTCAGTGAAACTAACCTGTATAAATATAGGTTTAATTGAATTGAATTAAATATTTGCCATAAACTGTTGGGGACCATGTCTGTCAGCAAAATATCTCTTGGACCACTGGACCAATTTTAAGAAACTCTCAGGAAGTAACCACTGGATGTACACTAAAACTGATGGAGTTTTTGTCCTTTAATCACTTTGTTCTGAGGTGAGAGCTTTCATGGCATTCCCAGTGCAACAGGCCACATTAACCCCTGCTCCAGATTAAACTTGTGTATAGTTTGGCTCAGGCCAGTGTATATCCGGGGACCAAACTGTACCCTTTGGGTGTAAAAAAAGTCTAGGCAGACTATACCCGTCTAGGCCAGAATATACCCATATATACACATAATCTGGCCAAATGTTTAGAATTTTAAGGTTTAAGTCATCTAGCTTTTTCACTTAACTTACATGTAAAAGGTGAACCCCCAATAAAATAATTTAAAAAATAAAGTAATTTTGTTTGAAAACAACAAAGTCCATGATCAATAATCCAGGTATACAAGCCAACATTTTTCAGTTATGTCATCTGGACAGTTTCTTTTTTTTGTGCTGAAATGTTTCGCCTTTGGTCCAGAAGGCTTCATCAGTCATGGAAATACACAACAAAACTGATTCTTCCTCCAACAGCTTACTTCAAAGTGGAACAACCCAGTTCTGCTTGTGATAAGATAGACTCTTTGGTACGCCCCCTCCTCCATTGCTGGCCCAGCAATGGAGGAGGGGGCGTAGAAAGTAATTTTTTTGTTTATGACTCAACGCTGCTGTTATCATAGGGGTATAATTTGATCTGAAAGGAATGAATAGGCCTAGGCCATAGTATACCTATGGTATCATAGTATAGCTGAGTATAATATAACCTAGATCCATTTTAACCCAGGTACAGTACAGATTGGGGTATACTATGTATGATCTGTTCCACCAGGATGTGTCACGCTCAGCGGACCCCCGCTGCCCCCCCATCTGTTTAAGCCTTTGCTCCTCATACCACAGCCCCTGTTTTTAGATCATTCACATTTTTTTTCCTGCTTTAGTTTTGAGTTCTCCTCTCATTCATTCAGCTCCTGTCACCCTGTGCCACGCCCCCTCCACCATCTACCGCAATCTACATTCATGAGCAACACCTGTTTCAGTTCACTATTTAAGCTCCCTGTTTCTCCTCAGTCGCGGCCAGATAATTATAGATTATTTCCATAGATATCCAGCGTTCCCTCTTCTTATCACAGTTTTCGACCAAAGCTTTGCCCACGACCTCTCATTCTCGCCTTTGCCCCCGGACTGGATTCCTCGCCTATAATCTGATCATATTGACGACTGCTTTTCCTCCTTGGCCACAATTTTTGGATTCCCCTTTTGGTTCTTCTGCCTGGCTGCATTCCTCTCTGGTTTTGACCCTTGCCTTCCCCTGGATAAAGTTCTGCTGCCTGAACTCCTCAGCTTCACAGCTCACCCATCCAGCCTCACTACCTGTTCGTGCTCACGCTGTGCATTGCTGCTCTGTGCGCCCTTGCGCATGTTACCGGCTCCTGAGATTCGGACCGGTACTGGAACCCACCTGGCCCACATCTCAGACTGGTTTCAGAGACAGAAGGTTAGTGGCTTTATTCTTGTTTACTCTGTTCTGCTTACAGGCACTAATCTGTGTCTCCCCCAGAGCGGTCCGGTACCAGAACCAGAACCTCCTGCCAGACGCCGCTGGTTTTAAAATTAAACTTTTAAACCTTTTTCTGAGTCTGTGCTTGTCAGATCCACCCCAATTCGTGACAGGATGGTGCCCAGCTGTCAGCAGTCTCAGCTAATTACTTTACATCATACTTAGAGCTGAGCTGCACTACCATCCTTTGCTGGACCATTGAAAGCCATTTGGTGATGTTGGCATACAGCCTTTAAGTTACTCTTGAGTTTTCTAAGTATTAACGTGTTCGCTTCCTTGGTTTCCCAAAAATTTCTGCAAGTGATTCTGGTTTTATCAATTCCTTTGATCCCAGCTACCACACTCACTTCAGCAAACTTATCTTACCTCCTGTTTGATCAAATCACTGAGAGAAATCAACTCAGCCTATCCATTCTCCATAATCTCCCAGCCCAAAGATACCAACCTGAAGTCTCAACCTGGACGTGGCCTGGAATCCTTGCTACCTCCTCTTCTGGATCCTGCAAAGATTGAATCAAATTGTAAATGGTAAATGGACTGTACTTATATAGCACTTTTCTATCTAATCAAGATACTCAAAGCGCTTTACAACACAATCTGTGCCTCATTGACCCATTCATATAGCACTCTACTAGCTCTCTACAAAGCTAATCTAACAAATTATTCTAAAGAGACTAATCAGAGCTTTAGATCACATTCATACACCAATGGGACACACATCGGAGGCAACGAAGGGTTCAGTGTCTTGCCCATGGACACTTCAGCATGTGACTGCTGGTGGATTCAAACCCCCAACTCTTGCATTGGAGGACAACTGCTCTAACCACTCAGCCACAACCGCCCCCAATTGTGAGAACCCCAAATCCCATCAACATCAATATATCTGCATTGAACTTCAATCATCTATTTACCTCAGTCTAATAAGTATTCTCTGTTTCTCTCTGGGCAGCACAGTCGCACAGTTGATAAAACTGCCGCTGCAGCGAGAAAGTTGCCAGATTGAATCCCGGCTGAGGGCCTTTCTGAGTGGCGTTTGCATGTTCCTCCCACAAATCAAAAACATGCATGTTAGACTGACTGGTAAATTGTCCCTAGGTGAGAGAGAGATAGAGAGTAGATGGTTGTTTGTCTCGTTTGTCTATGTGGCCCTGTGATGGACTGGAGACTTGTCCAGAGTGTCCCTATGATTGTTAGAAGACCTGTCCAGGTGTCCTTGTGATTGATGGAGACCTGTCCAGGTGTCCTTGTGATTGATGGAGACCTGTCCAGGTGTCCCTGTGATTAATGGATACCTGTCCAGGTGTCCCTGTGATTGATAGAGACCTGTCCAGAGCGTCCCTGTGATGGACTGGAGACCTGCCCAGGTGTCGCCCACCTCTCGCACAGTGATTGCTGGACATGGGAACCAGTGACCTTTGTGACCCAAAAAGGAAAAGTGTGTTAAAAATAATGGATGGATGTTCCTCTCTGCAAATCACCCTTTGTCCTACTTCCTCACCCTTTCACAATAAAGCATCTTCTAATTCTTATTTGTTTGCCTGCCTTACACTTCTAAGCAGTTAAAACCCTAGTCATCTTCAGGATTTTGTCTTGGATTTATTTAGTGTAATCAGTGAATTCAGTCAACGCCAGACCAAACTTTAAGTTGCGTCACCTTGTTTCTGAAGTCAAGAATGTTCAGCTCAGCCTAAACTGGAGGTTTTCCACAGGTCTTTCTGCTATCTGAGGATTCTGCAACAGTTTAGTGGCATCACATTTCTCCGTGCACTGCAGCATCAAATAATGCAAACCAGACAGTGGAAAATTTACAAAAACCTTGGCTCACACTTGTCGCTGAAACTTTACCTGGCTGCAAGAGAGGACAAGTGTAGACGTGTTCTTTGTAAAGCACCTGGATTAGTCATGCAGCAATCCGTGTTTGTTCGCAACAAGTCAACTGGAAACCGTCTGAAAAGAGTTTCATGGAAGAGACATAAGCAAAGAGAGGATTTAATGGCTGGGATCTGCAGCTGAATGGACATAATGCTGGTCCATTCAGAGAACAGGGAGGACACTGAGTACATAGGCTGCAGTCTCTTTCATGTCTCAATCTCATTGTTTGGGTCAGGAGGCAGGAATCAGAGAAAAACAGTCATTTCATGAATGAGAAGCTCTTTGCTTCTATTCTTTTGCATGCATGCTCTACCTAATGAGGCAATTTATCCACGGGTTAAAGAAATCCAATCCAAAGCTTTCTGCATGTTTTCAGCCAGTCAGTTGTAATTTTCCAAAAGCAAACAATCAACGTTTCCAAATGGAGACAGAACAAAGCATTGTTCACATTCAGATCTCCACCCACCCCTGTAACACCTGGAGACACCACCAGGATGGCCACTGTTGCTTTTTTCCTCCCTCGAGCCTTTTAAAGTCGTCTGGGTGCTGTCAGAGAGGCTTCATTACTCGTCAGAAGGAGGCAGAGCCGTGACTCACCGCGTGCGTGAGGAGACCAATGGGCAGCCGGAGACGCACATATAAATAAGAACAAATATTTTTCAGGGAGAAAAGGGTCACTTGTGAGCCGCTGGATGGGATTTTTTTTATTCTGTGGGCGTTCAACTCCATCTCCGACATTGGACTGGTTTCTTTTTGTGCCTTTTGCTGCCACTTATTGCAATAAAAGAATATTAATAAACAAAAACATAGAAATTATTTGGATTGGACAGCCTGAGCCGGTAAGATTTGTCCTCTGTTCGTTTCAGCCGCGCGTTTTTATTGATATGTCCTCCCAGGCAGACAGGTGAACGCACGGTGCCTTTGTCATCAATTACAGTAAATTAAACAATCAATTTATAAATAGTTGTTCGTTTTTAAAGAAAATGGGTTTCAAATATATATATATATGTAAATATTTTCTAGTGAAATTATGTTATTTTAGTATATAAATTGCTCTTTTTTGTTTATATCTTTTAATCTATTTGTTTTTGTTCCTTTAAAATATCAGCTGCTGTGATAAAAGCTAAATATTTGTCTCCTCTTTTCAAGGCTGAGGGGAAAAAAACTGATAAGTTCATTTCGAAAGTCTGTATGAGGAATAATAAACAGCTTCACGCATTTGAATCCTTAAAAATCACTAAATAAATTCACTCCTTGGATTTATTTGCTCGTTTATTTCTGGAGAATTCTATCAAATGCGTTGATGTTTATGAATGATTAATGCAAAATTTATTTTAAGAAATGTCAGAAAGGCTGCGCCTTCCCGGAGTTAATTTCGTCCGTCTGGCCTCCGAGGATTCTGGTCCGGTTCTGCTGCATGTTTTTAATCAGGATTTATGTTTTCAGTGCACAGAACTTGCAGCCTCCCCCACCGCCACCCCTCCCCGCTGACTCCATCATTCTGTTTGCAGGTGAATTGCTACCCCCCACCCCAGCTGGACATCAGATAACATGGCCACGTCTGAACACAGAGCCAACGGAGAGGACCAGGACCCCAACTCAGCCAATTTAAGACCCACACCTTCAAGTAAGGTGCTGACGTGAGCTCTTGAACCCGGTGCAGCAGCAGCAGAGGCTGCACAGAAAACTGTTTCTGACACGATGCCTCGCTGAAAAAAGACTCCTGTGCGTGGGGCTGAGCCCCCCCCCCCCCCCCTCCGCCTCCCACGCTGGGTGGGCTCGGTCGTTAATCATCCGGGTTAAAAGTATAGAGCCATCAGCCGCTGTCTGGCAGCTCGGTGAAGAAATGCGCCATGAGAGGCAAAGCCATGCTCCAAGAGCAAGAGCACCAAACACGGCTTAAAATATTCAGGATAAAAAAAAAGACATTTTATTCTCATATTTACATCCTAATCTTGTGGATCTGGAGCAACGAAACATCAAAACAAAGTTGCTCCAAATTTGTCCTGTACAGCAGTTTTTGTTTTCATGAATAAATTTACTCTCAGATAATTATTTTTCCTTTGGCTCAGATTGAACAAACCGGCTCCGTCTGACCTAAACAGGATTCGTTTCAGATTTGCTCAGTTTTTAAAAAACAGTCTTTTATTTTGGAGACTCCGAGAATCTTTTAAAGAGTCACAGAAAAACAGAACATGCTCTTGTTTTGTCTCTGATGCTGCTGGATGTTGCCATTCTCTCTGAAACGCTCCATCTCCTTCCTGCCCGCCCGCTTGTTGCGTCTGCCTGCGCGCGCGCGAGCATGTGCATGTGTGTTGCGTCCTGGCACCTCGAGCTGCTTCAAAATGTATTTTTACTTTCTTTGAGCTCTGGAAGTTTTCCATCAGGTGCGCTCTCTCGCTCCATCTTCGCTTGCGCGTGCTCGGCTCCTGTGCGCGTGTGTTTGTGCACGTGTGTGTTTTACATAGAAAATAGGTTTATGCTCAGACGTGCATCCGTGAGCTCATTTCACGCGTTTTGCTTCCGCCCCGCCCCTTAACTGAGGTGCGTGAGGCGCGTGGCATGAGTGAGCGGTGCGGGAGTCACGCGCGCTCCACATTCAACTCAAATCGGAAAAGGCTCAAATAGGAGGAGGAAGTGTAATGGTGGACCGAGCCGCGCGCGTCACGCTTGCATTCTGTGTTCAGTGTGTGTGTGCGCTCGTGCGTGTTTGCTTAATTACCCGCGGCCTGAAACTCCAACTCAACGTTTATTCTGTTTTAGCTTACGAATATGCGTGGATGCACGGCTGCACGCGGAAACTGGGGATGAAGATCTGCGGTGAGTGCGGGCTTGGGCACGATGATGTCACAGACTGTATTATTAAGACATATTTATTTATTTATTTATTTATTGGACAAGTATTTTGTGTCAGATATCATTACGACTATGAGCTGTGTTTGCACTGTCTGGTGTCTGTTAGCAAAATATGTCCCAACACTGAGCGTGACATGATTTGTCTTCTCATGAGACGATCCCTGAAACTGAAGCATGCGCGCGGCGGGTGATGTGCATTCCATCCAGCAATTTAATGTCCTGATTCCAACCCGAAGCTGTGCGTGTGCGCGTGTCCGAGCAGGCCCGTCCTCCTCTGTCACTGCTCGTTTCCATCATGCAAAGGTCAATGCGCATCAGCCTGCAGCTGCGTATCGCGCTGTGAGGGGGACGCCCCCTCTGCCCGCCCCCTCAGCGCGCACGTCCCTTTCACTCAGACACACCAGAACCCTCCACTCATGACAGACCAGCCCAGCTCCTTGTTGTTGACTCTGATAACCACTGATCACTGACACTGATTGTCTTGGAATCTAGCTGTTTTTTTTGTTGTTGTTGTTTTGTTACCTTTTCCTTTTAGCCATCCTATTTGTTAAAAAACAAACAAACAAACAAACAAACAAAAAACTGTAGTATGCTTTTTTATAACTGTTTATTGTTGTTGCTGTTGTCCATTGTTGTCATCTTTCTTTGTTGAAATCAGGTCTCTCTTGTAAATGAGTCCTCGAGGCTCAATGGGATATACCTGTATAAATAAAGGTTGATTGATTGATTGATCTAATCTGCAGGCAATGAAGAACAAATTCAGCTGTTTGACTACAAATCAGCTAAAACTCTTAGGACGGCTAAAGTTTTCTGTCAAATTATATTTTCACAAACTTTCCTTCAGAAAATCTGACCAAGATTTTCCCTGAAATCGTCTTGTTTTGATCCAGCCTTGAAAATAATGTTTAGAGCGTGAGTTGTGCTGACTCTCAGCTACTATCACCTCAAGCTCAGTATCTCTGGCGTAATTAACCATTTTAGTGTTCATTACATTTATTAGCTATATTTTACTGGATCGACTCCAAAACAATGAGTTAGAGGTAAATTCACTGCTTGTTCCTGCCAGAGCCACCAATGGTCAAGTGATTTGTGGGATATTTTGCTAACAGACAACCAGAGGTTAGTCCAATACTGTAGTTAAAGCATATTTTTAAACACTGTTTTAGCTCAGTCTCAGAGCCCAAGTGTTGTGGGGTCAGTGCAACACCAAATTGTATGGCATAGGCTAGGCCAACCCTTTGTGTTATTGTTAATATTAGTTGTCTGTGGCAACCATCTTGACTTGGGTTGACTCCAAAAATTAATCAGTTGAAGGAGTATATTCAGTGATTGTTTCCTGCAAGAAAAAAAAATGTGCTCAGTGGTTCATGGGATATTTTACTAACAAACACAATCAGCACAACAACAAAAAAAGAAACTATCCAGATGACCTGATTGAAAATTATTGGATTGTATACCTGGATTATTGAGCATGGACTTTGTTGGTTTTGAACCATTTTGACATGAATGTCAACGAGGAAGAGGGCCGGCACCGGAGGAGGGGACGTGATAAAGAGACCATCTTAGCACCAACAAAACTGGTTTGTTCCACTTTGGAGTAAGCTGTTGGGGGAAGAATCAGTTTTGTATTGTGTGTTTCCTTGACTGATGAAGCCTTCTGGATGGAAGGGGAAAAGTTTCAGCACAAAAAAAAAAAAAACTTTCCAGATGACCTAACTGAAAATTGTTTGAAACACATTCGCTTGCTCTCGCCTTTCGGCAGCCGGCGCTGTTCAGGGAGGGGGTCTTAAATATCGCCTGAATATAATTTAATGAGCAGAGTATCATATTTACGCCTACAGGTTAAAAAAATGGTGCCGCCCCCCCCCCCCCCCCCCCCCAAAAAAAAAAAAAAACCTTTATTGAAAACAAACTGCAAAACAACAAAGAAAAAAGGGTGTGGGAAGTGACCGCGTGTCAATTGACGTCACAGTCCTTTTTAAGTTAGACTCGTCAATGATTGAGTTATTATTCCACTTCAGACCTTTCGGATAGCGAGCAGCCCACTGCGCGCCTGTTTAAAAACCAGGCAGGCCATTTGGGCCTTTTATCAAAATTATTTTAGTTGTTTTACTATTTTGTTTGTTTGGTTTTTTACTTGTTCGAGCATGATGGAGGTGTTTGGGGATAACTCCTTCTCTTCGCCGCGTAACACCTCAGGGTTCCTGCAGAAGAACAACAGCATGGAGGAGAGGAGGCTCGCGGGCCAGAAAAACCTGCTCGCGTGCGACAACAGCGACGGCATATTCCGCCGCACGGAGACCGACTTCTCCAACCTATTTGCCAGAGGTGAGCACTCCTTTCACTAATGCCTCTCGGAGCTCTGCATTACAAGCACGTTTCATCGGTTCAAATCAAAATTTAATAAGAGCCCAAACTATTTATTTATTATTCGGGCAATTAAAGACAGCTTTATTTTCACATCTCACCTAAATGTGATTATCTTCCTGTTTGAGAATTGCTTTCAATAAACAGGTGCTAATATTACATAAATTAGGGCCGCACTGTTGAGGCTATTTGCCAATTGTCTTAAAATGGACTACTTGTTTTCCTCACTCTGTGCTGTGTAGAAATTTGTATCCCTCTAAATCTGATCTTCACCAGTTCAATTTTCTTTTCAACTTTTGTTATTATAATACGCGTCTGTGTCTGAAGTCTTTTAAGAAAACGAATCATTAACAACAAAAACTTTTTTCCCCATTTAAAACACATAATTTAAAACACATCTTGACTTATTGATTATTGAGCATGCATCAGGACATCTTGACTTCACCACAACATTTTTTAACCATCTTATTTTATTCTCTCGATAAATATTATCACTTGTTTGTCAAATAAATACGTACAACTGACTCGTTGCGTCATGGGACACAGATTCTAATTTTTTATTGGTATAGCCCGAACATTTGCCCATTTTAGCAGGACACGCGCGCGCTTGCACACACGCACATACACGCACAGACACACAAACCAGACACACACACAGAAGGCAGGCGGGGACACGTTTTTCCGGGGTAACACATTTCGACACAACATGAAAATGCTAGCTAAAGTTTTTTTTTTTTTTTTAAGCTAAAGGTTAATTAACTACAGAGAAAAAGTAAAGTAACGCTACAAAACGAATTGCTAATATCCTAGAGTTGAGGGTGGAGCAATAATGAAATTATTTTTAGTGTGCTAAAAGTTGAAGCATTGACCTAATTTATTTTGGTTTGGAAAGTTTGACAACGGATTTGAAATGGCTACACTCGGGTTAGCTTTAGCTTCTACGTCGTTCAGCTGCTCGACATGATTAGCTTAACATGTAAGCTAAAGATTGGTGACAGTGGTCATAACAGGACAATTGAAATGGGAAATAATAAAGTAAATGCAGATTTAACATTTTAATTGTGTATTTATACAGTAGACCCAATATTTGAACCTAAACCAGGCCTAAATTCTGCTCCCCTTTTTAGACCTTCTGCCAGCTAAAAATGGAGAGGAGCCCACCCTCCAGTTTCTGTTGGAGGTGGTGGAGATTCTCACAAACTACATCAAGAAGACTTTTGACCGCTCCACCAAGGTACTGGACTTCCACCACCCCCACCAGCTGCTTGAGGGGATGGAGGGCTTCAACCTGGATCTGTCGGACCAGCCCGAGTCCCTGGAGCAGATCCTGGTGGACTGTAGGGACACCCTCAAATACGGAGTCCGGACAGGTGAGGGTTACTGTGGTCAGAATTTATTAAGTTTAAATTGTTACTTTTTATAATTTTAAAGGTTGGACTAATAATTCATAAACAAATAATAATAATGCAGCTATTAGAATAAAAACAGATTTTTTTTACAGGATGGAGCCCTCTGAAGATGACTGCCTGAGTCATTTCCTCTTGTTAAATCATCTGATCCCCCTCCCAACCCCTGCACCTCCCCTGTCTGTTTTATTAAACCAAGTGTGGCCTGAGGGGGATTTTAACTGGAGCTGTTCCAAGCTGTTAAAATAACAAAGCTCAAATGGTCCCGTGGGGTTCACAGATCACATAGTTGCTCTTCTGTGTGTTCACCTCCAATCTGTTTTGTTTTTAAAAACGTTACGAGGCCGAGGTTTCCCTCTGAGGAGGCCCTGCGGAGCTGTCCCCGGTGCTGAAACGGAAACTTTCCTCCTTGTTTCTTCACCCTCGTTAGGTTCTCTGACAGTTTGTTCAGCAGATCCACTTTAATTGGTTTCTTGACTGCGTTTGTTATAATATTTTATGCTTTCTTGCAGCATTAGATTTAGTCTCCAGGCCACTGCAGTTGTTATGTAATCTTTTTCCTCTGTATACAGTCACCATGTTAAGACATTGTTTTTGTTTTCAAGGTCACCCACGGTTCTTCAACCAGTTATCTTCAGGTTTGGACATCATCGGTCTGGCCGGGGAGTGGCTGACTTCCGCAGCCAACACCAACATGTAAGTCTGTCAGTAATCCGGTCTCTGTGCTCCTTTTTCATCACAATATGGTTATCTGTACAGGTCATGTAAGGTCAGCTGAGGCTTTCTATTTAAAGCACCACTGGAAGTAGCTTCTTGTCATTCCCCTGAGTTCACTTCAGCACAGGTTGCAACAGCTTCTCGGCCCGGTTACTTAAAACACTGTTTGTCCTAGACGTAAACACTGTTTGTCCTAGACGTACTATGTATGGATGGATGCGGGGCTGCCACTCTGCTGTGGTGTTTATGGAGGCTGCTCAGCTCCACAGCTCCAGGGCTGCTTAGATTGCATATTGATTCCAGGTCAAACTTACATGGAGGCCCGGTCCGATGGAGGATCTGAAACACACGCGCACGCACGCACACGCACACACACACACACACACATTATGGTCACTACTGCTAACTCAGGATGTAGGAGTGATTAATTAATAATGTCATTTTCTAGAATGTACTAACTTCTATGAATCAACAATTTTTGCCTTCAGCTCCCTCAAATAGTATTTTAATTAATGATGTGAATGTTTTTGAATCATTCTCATTGAGATCAGTTTTCAGCACGTAACTCGTTTTGCAGCCGTTCTTTTCATAAAGCAAAACGTTCGGCTAATTCAGGACATTCCTGCTCTGACTTTTACCATTTGAAATATTTAACTTTTGTCACCGGCCATGTTTTCCTCATTAAAATGAATGGAGATCTTCACCTCTTTCAAACTCTTTGAGCTGTTTTAACGTGTTACAGCTCATTTCAGCTGTTCAGCTTCAGCTCCTATCAACTTCTGCATTTATTTTCTTTTTCAGCTACTTAAAAAAAAAAAAATTATTCTATTACTAGCCTTTTTTGCTTCTTTTTTTTTGCCAATTTCTGTCTTTTTAAATAATTTATACTTTTTTGCTAATTTCAGCTTTTTTGTGTAAATATTCTCTGCTGTTTTTCAGCGGTTTATGTTACACATAAGCTCTATTCAGCTTTTTTCATCTGCTTTCCTGTTTGATTTTCCTGCTTTCAGTAAATGTCAGCTGTTCAAATGCAGGTTACCTTAAGAGTTCAGAGATGAAACTTCAACTGGTTTTGGCTAAAACCATTCATCAATAAGCGTTAACTACATGTTCTCATGAAGTGATATCTAGTTTATTTCTGCTGTAATTAACACATGAAATAATTTTATGAAATGACAACAAGAAAACATTAAAAATAACTAAATTAAAACTTTCTTGAAGGTTAGAGTAAGTAGGCAAAATAAGAAAAAAATCAATCTTTTATTTTAAAAACAAAGAAAACTAAAGAAAATTATTTTGCAGATGCCAAATCTTATTAAATCCTCTTTTGTTTAGAAATAATAAATGAATGGGTCCAATAAAGCTTGTTTGTTTTCATACCAGAGACACAAAAAAGGAGGTTCATTAAACAGTAAGTCCTCTTTAGACAAATTGGTTCTAAATCCAGAAAATGAGCTCAATCACAGCTCTGGTTGATCATTTTCCTTCTGAACGTCAGTGAAGTTGAACCCTGCGACTCGTTACTGTCCAGGAAGGACCTGCAGCTGCACCTGAGCTGAACAAAACGCAACAACTCAAACTGTTGGCAGCTAAAAAGTAGATTTTTATCTATTCAGACATTCTATTGGCCTTAAATCCTAACCATTAGTCCAGGAAACTGCCTCCTACTTGGATAAGTTTTCCATCTCATCTCCTGGATGGAAGAATGCCCCCGAGACACTGGGCCATTGACTTCCCACACCCAAACACACTGTAATGACACACACACCAGCCCCGGCTGTCCCACATTCAGCAGCCAGGCTTTCCAGTCCATTGGCTGCGGGCTCACTGTGAGCTGGTCTTGGCAGATAGGCCAGCTGGGCCCCCCGCTGACACACAGCGTCCTCTGGCTGCAGCTCCCTGCACAGGGCTCATTCGGCTCTATTGTCCCCGCATACATGAACGCACTCGGTGCTCCTTTGAGGGGCTCAAAGCTGAGTGCAGTTCAGGGTCAGGTGGTTAGTTACACATGCACACACACAAACACATTCTCACAACACATTGTACGCCCTTGATGACGATAATAAGGACATTTAGGGGCTGTCTCTGGAGACAGGCAGGTGAGTGAGGGCTAATGTTCACTCTGAAAGCCAGATGATTGGCTCTGATTGTGATAATGATCACCATTATTGTCATTACGGCGTGAAATGACTGGGACAAGGCAGAATTTTAACAAGCTCTGCTCGTTTTGTCATTTTTTTCCTGCTTTGTCTGGGATCGGTTCCTTTCAGAGGACAGGAACAGGAGACATTGTCGATATTTAAAGAAAAATATTCTCAGCATCTCAAAAGCAAAAAGCAGGCCTGAAAACTTCTGTAGATGAAGCCATGGTCTCGAGTATTCACTGGGAGCTCATTTTAAAATCTAATCCATGAAACGCTCCGCCTTCAACACATCTAGTGCAATATTAATTATCAAGCTTTTATTTTTCAGATTTCAGTGTGTTCTCGCTCGCAGCGCTCTCTTCCTGTTTCAGTCACTGTTCATGCAGTTTTTGTCATTTCTTTATATTTTTCTGAGTACACAACCCGTCTGGTGTTGTTCATTGTTTCCCTCCTTTCTCCCCACACTGCAAAACTGCTGCGGTGCTTGTTTATTTACGTGTTCATTTGTTTACACAGTGGGGGGGGGGGGGGGGGGGGAGCACGCTTTTGTTGACGTACGTGATGAAAGGAGAGAAATGTTGTGTAACTGGCCTGGTTAGTGTGTGTGTTGTCATGCCTCTGATCCTGTGCGACACATTTAACCTACTTCAGGCTCAGTCTTGTTTCTGTGAGTTATTTGAACTCGTGAAGCGACAATGAATTCAGGCTTACATCTTTTAAACCTGCATCTCATTCATCTCATCTCTAGGATCATTCTTCAAGTAACGCATATATATTTTTTAAAATATTCTTCTTTTCTCTCTTAACAAGATAATGAAATTCCCTGATTCAGACTTTGTTTTTCTGGATTTGGAGGCTGACAAAAGGCTGTTATTTCTCTCAAACATCGTTGTCGTGTTCAGTCACAGATTGACACACTCCTCCACATTCAGCGTCACCGCTGAGAGCGACGGGGCTGACAGATAGCCATCAGTGCTTTGTGCACTTTAATTAAACCACTCTGTGGTTTTAGAAGGAATTTCAATATGAATGTTTGCTGGCTGGCTCCTATCAGGAGCTTTTTAATAAGCCCGCTCAGCGCCACAGTCGTGTGTGTGTTGTGTGTGTGTGTGTGTGTGTGTGTGTTGTGTGCGTTTTGTGTGATGCACTTTGTTCATAAATGACCCTGATTGGCAGGTTCACCTATGAGATCGCTCCAGTGTTCGTACTGATGGAGCAGCTGACCCTAAAGAAGATGAGGGAGATGGTCGGCTGGCCAGGCGGGGAAGGAGATGGGCTCTTCTCTCCAGGTCACTTTACAAATCTTATGAATTATAATGTAGAAACCATAGAGCTCTACAAACCACCAGAGGGCACTCTGGTCCTGTGACCTTGTGATTCGCTGCAGCCAGAGCCGGATAGAGGGAGAGTTGTGACACTCCCGTAGACTTCTATAGAAAGAGTGGAATGCGGAAGTCACGTGGGTCATGCAGTCGCAAACAGTTCCAAACAGCAGCATTTCCAGCATTGAACATAGTTCATTCTCGGTGCTTCAGAAGTGTTTTCTCCGGTAAGTTGACGAAAATACACTTTTTTGCCATTGTGAAGCATTAGCTGACTGTTCTGTACCACAATTTATCAACATTAATACTTCATGTCGCCAGTTTTAGTTAATTAAACATGTTAAATTGCTAGTTGTATTTTAACTGCAACTAACTCTTTGCCAACATGACTGGTTTAAATGGGTCTATTTCTGTCTAATTTAGCATTTTAAAATATCCATTACAGCTTAAATTTTGCCTGTTGAAAATTTTCTAATTTTTGTGGTTATTCCAGTTACTGAACTATATCTCAACTAGAAAATCTTTAGCCTTTTTTCTTCGAGATTGACGTGGTTAATTTAGTTCAATTTATAGATCCTTTGTCAAAGACTGCAGTATAAATTGTGACATTATCATTAAAGAAAAACGATCGTGGAGATGAGTTTTTTTTTTATGTTTTCCAGGTAAACCAGAGAATGACTTCAGTGAACTGCTGAAGGAGTAGGATATCATGCTCTCCTTCCAAAGTGTCATCATTTTTGCTTAATTGAACTTGAGCATCCATCACAGATGTTAGAATGTTTGACTTTATTTACTATGTATCCTGTAAGATGGTACAGCCTACAGGTTTCACTGTTGGTGAAATCAGAAGTACCTGTGTTTCCAATCAGTTGCTCCACACTCAGGCCAGGACTGGGAAATGTCTCCGTAATGTCCAGGAACTCTGCCAGAAGACTGCCATCATCATCCTGATAGCTTCCGGATTTGACTGTCATAAGAAACTGCCCAACTGAGACTGATCTCTGCGCCTGGTGAAACTCCACTGGTGCTGGGACAGGATTCCTTTGCCTTATGCAGCTGAACAAGTTTTCAAGACAGTCCTGAGTAAACCTGATCGTCAACATAAACGTGTCCATGGTCAAGCATGTCTTTTTCAATACATAAAATTGTAGATGTTGCCATCACAATTCCTGTTTGCACTGGTTTCCAGCGGACGTGGTGATTGACTTCAAAGGGAGCTGCTGTGAATGATGACGGAGGATGGACCCTTATTCGGACTTAGGCACATTTCAACTTTGTTCAAATTTGATCAGATACAGTGCATTGGTGCAGATGTAATTAATAAACAGTATAAATAAAAGTACTTTATTAATAGCTTGTTTTACATTTTAAATATTTTATAATAAATTGTTTATGCAATGCTTTTGATGTCACATCACTCTTTACGTGCATTCCTGTTGATGATGCAGTAGAGGTGGTCAGTTTAAGATTAAAATCAGACACCACTCTGAGCAGCAGGACCACGCTTTCCACAGAACAACTGTGTCAACTCTTGAAACTGTGCCTGCAGTCAACCTACTTCACATATGGGGAGCAATATTATAGGCAGAAACATGGGTGTGCTATGGGGTCTCCAGTTTCTCCTATTGTTGCCAACCTGTACATGGAGGAGGTAGAAAAGAAAGCCTTGACGTCCTTTTCAGGGACACCACCAAGTCATTGGTTCAGGTATGTTGACGACACCTGGGTTAAAATTAAATCTCAGGAAGTCCAACATTTTACTGACCACATCAACTCTGTGGATAAATACATCAAGTTCACACGAGAAGATGTAAAAAATGGCA